GCTAGCACCTGTTATATTGACCTCTCTCCGTCTAGCCAATCTCCCCGGCTTCTGCATGTCAACTGCCCTCAAACGGATGTCTGCAAGTGGGCTGCCATCTCTGTGGAGGCTGTGGTCCATCCTGGGCTGTGCGGCTGCCATCCATCGCCGCTCGCCGGGATCCTGGCTAATGGCTAACACCGACACTCAAGGCTACTCCACCGTCATCTCTGCGCCGCTTAGGAGCTCCCATCACATCAGCACTTCTTCTGGTCAACTCCAACTACCTCACCGACCCCGCTGTATCCGAAGAGGATCTGGTCGCCGGTTTGTTCTGTCCAAACACGGTGATCTTGGTAACTGTCACTGATCCATCACATCCCTCTGGTCGGCTGGTTGCACCGTCGCACAACAACGGCGTCATCAGAACACCGCTACTCCAGTCCAGGAGCGCGTATGGCCAGCTGGAGAGAAAACCAGTGGATCACAGCGTCCTGCGCCCCCTTAATGGACCGGACTCCGCAAGCCATTCCACACTGGAATTACTAAATGTTCAGTCACTGACAAACAAAGCCGGACTCATCAACGACCACATTACAGACAGGGAAATTGACATTCTCTGTCTTACAGAGACCTGGCAACAGCCTGAGGTCTACTCTGCCCTCAGTGAGGCCTGTTCCCCTGGGTATAGCCTCGCTGTTTTTCACCGCAGCTGCATTCAAACCTCTCTACTGTCTGTCCCACCCTTCAACACTTTTGAACATCTGGGTCTCTATTTTCATGTACGCTGGTGAGGCGACGGAGGGTGGCGGACCCTGCGCAGTTGTATTTTCGTCTGGCGGAGCCCGGCGTACAGCCAGTTTGGTATTTTCGTGGACTTAGGCGCACGGAGGCGAACCAAGATCCGCCAAGCTGGGCGTGGCAGGGGCAGGTGTCGACAGAATCAGCGGGCGCAGTGACATTTTCGTGCTCGCCACCGGCGTGTAAAGTGCGCTGAAAGCTTGCCGATTCAAACCTGGTCAGCTTTCAGCGCAAGCGAAACGCAGCTGGTCTAGAGGCATTTTGGTAGACCAGCGGCGTATCGGCATACGTCACCGATGCCTCACCGACAGGTTTCCACAGTGTCAGGCACATTTCAGTGCAATAAATAATCAATAACTATTAATCTGAGTCAGCACATACATTTAGATCTATATAGATATATTCTGATCTATATCTGATCTGATGAGCGTATTTGGCACGCGTTTGGACACATAACCTGACCGAATCAACACAGCTGAAACCGCATCAAATTAAATTAAATATCTAGTAAATAAACACACATGATGAAGTTAACAAGATATTTAATTTGTCTCCCTCCCTTTCTTTCTTCCTCTTATTTCTCGTGCAGCTCGAACTGCACATGTCTCTGTGTCCTCTCTCTATCCTGCAGCGGCTGAACAGATGATTTGTTTCAGTGATCAGATGAGTTATTTACTTTAAGCCTACATACGAATATTATAATATTCAGTTTTGTGAGCCAAATTTATTTTATATGCCAACATCTATGAAAGAAAGAGCCAGGCCACTGAGCGCGATGCGTCATTTACGCTCAGATGGTTCTGATTTTAATGCCATTTTTGGAGTTTATGTTGTGATCTGTGCGCACAACCCACCTTTGTCACATAAGGTTTGAATATATGCAACTTTTTGTGAGTGTCTTCATTTGTGGAAAAGGGTGTTTGTCATACCAGTGGGTCCAACATTACACACACCAAATCCATCTGTGCTCAGATGAGAGAGTCAAATCAACCATATCTGCAAGACTTCCTTCTTTCACCTCCGTAATATCGCCAAACTCCGGCCATTTCTCTCTCGTCCTGCTGCAGAGGGGCTCGTCCATGCCTTTGTCTCCTCCAGGCTGAACTACTGTAACATGCTCTTCATCTGGATCCCGGGCAAGAGCTTACAAAGGCTCCAATATGTCCAAACCAGCGCCACCCGGGTCCTGATGAGAATGCGTAAATATGAGCACATCACCCCTATCCTTTGCACTCTGCACTGGCTCCCCGTACATCTCTGCATTGAATTCAAAATCCTCCTTCACACTCATCACTGTCTGCGCGGTGCAGCCCCCACCTACCTCACCGAACGCCTCACCCCACATACCTCAGCCAGAACCCGGTCAGGCCAACTGCACCATCTGCGCCCGCCCAGGACTCGGCTCAAGACCATGGGCAACAGGGCCTTCGAGGCTGCTGCTCCCCGTCTGTGGAACGCCCTCCCGACCACCTCAGGGCTCCACAGTCGGTGGATGCTTTTAAAAAAGGACTCAAAACCTTCCTTTTTCTGAAAGCCTATCTGGACAGATTTTATCTGATTTTATCCGCTGACTGCTTTTATTGTTTTGTTCTGTTGCTTGATTTTATTGTTATTGTTGGTTTTTTTGTTATCGTTGTGCACTTTGAGATTTGTTTTCAAGTGTAAAGTGCGTTACAAATAAAATCTATTATTATTATTCTTTACTTTATTATTATTGTTGTTGTTATTATTATTATTTTTTTTTTTTTATATGGTCAAAGTAAACTTCAATCAGTCAATCATGTTAAATAAATCTCAAATGAACTGCCTTGATTTTGCTCATGTTGTATTTTCTGTTCAAATGGGGGGATCTTCCTTTTTTTCAGACTCTAATGGATCATCTATACTTTCTTTTTGATACCTCTTTAATAGCTTTAATACCTTATAGGAGTGGGTCCTTTTTCACGCTGGCCGCCATATCGCGCTGCCATGTGTTTACATAGCAACCAGTAGAATACATGGACTCTGTTTTAATGCCCACCAGCGTCATGGCGCAGGGTGGCAAACCCCACACAGTGGTATTTTAGTGCAGTGCAACCTGGCGCATTTTGTAGACTGAACCACACTGAGATGTGCCGAGGTGGAGGTGCACAGTAGGTGGAGGTGTGGATAAAATCAGCTGGCACATTAATATTTTCGTGCCTGCCGGCAGTGCATAAAGTGTGCTGAAAGCTTGCCAATTCAAACCTGGTCAGATTTTTGCACAGGCTTAGCACACATGTTTAAATGGCAAATTACTTGGCAAGCGCAGCAGTGCACACAAATCTGGCAATACATTTCAGTGTGATAAATAATCAACAACAACCAATATTTAGTGCAGCTACCTGAGTCAGCACATACATTTAGATGTAGCTCGATATAATCTGATCCGTATCTTATCTGATGAGAGCATCGCCACATCCTCACCCTATCCTGCCGCTGCTGCTGTCAAGGCTGACCATGGTGATTTATTTTAGTGATCAACTGAGTGATTTAGAAAATATGGGGGTGTCAGAATTTTTTTTTTTTCGAAGGAGAGTCGCACTCTCATCAATAATTGAGGATTTTATTTTAAGTTATTTTATAATAGCATAAGAGCACTGGAATGGATGAACTAGGCATTTCTATTGTTAAGAAAATAAAATTTTGATAAATAAATCAAGCCATTTTAAGGTACAGAATAGCATTATTTAAAAGAGAACAGTTTGTGCCCCTGACTCAAGGCTTTCACACTTTACCAAAAGTGGACCTTCTCTCAGTTGACCTACAGATGGATACCTCAAGCAGGGTCGAAACATTGCATTCATCAATAAGGTCACTACTATGAGCATTTGTAATGGACAAATCCATAAATCTTTCCTGTGTCATGGTGTTGTGCAGCCAGATTTTTAATCTGCGTGGGGCAGAGAAAGATTGCTCGGATGCCGTGACAGATATGGGCAGGGCCAGACAGAGCTTTATAAGCTTCTCCACCTTAGACAGCATGGAGCAGGTTTGGGGCTGCAAGGTTTGCAAGGTTACCCTGAGCCGTCTCAAGAACTGCCTTGTTATGTAAAAATGACCCAAAATGTAACAGTGACCTAAAATGTCATGAACCCCCTAGTCCTGTTCAAAATCACCACTTTCTGATCATGATCTGATCTGATCATGGCCAAAAATGGCCACTAAGTGAAAAGGTGTGTAATTTTTCTTTTTTTACAAACAGAGGTGTTTTGCTATTTTTACTGCAATAAATTTTTTAACTAACATTATGTCTTGTCATACATAATTGTGCCATCTATTTTCGTACATCTAAGTTAAACTTTTATTTTGAAAAGAGGTCTTCGGCCAAAAATAGCTACCACCTGTTTTCTATTGCAAAATGCTGTACAAACACTATATACTGCTCCTGCCACTGCTTTATTTATTTATTCAATTTGGCATCAGTCCTGATCATGCAGTCCAAAATTTTAATAAATTCCAGGATTTTGACCCTTTAAATACCAGTAAGATCACACAATATTTGCCAACATTTATTTTAACATCATTGAAGAATTAACACAGAACTCTCTTTACTTTGAACATGAAAAAAACTCAGGATGAACTGATTTTCACAAGACAAAGGCATTCTAAGCAGAGACATCCAAGAGACTGTAGAAGAGAACCAGTGGCTGGTCTTCCTGTGACAACTGTAGGTGCCAATAACCTTGTACAGGTTATCCACACCACCTTTACACCTGTTGTACTCCAGGATTGTTGCAGGCTTCTTCTTTTCTCCCTCGCTGACTGCTGGTTCCCTGTGCTTTGTGCTGAAAAGAATCACATTTTTCCCTTGCTTAGGCATGTAGGATACTGTCATTGTTGTTTTGGTGAAGGTGAAGAGAGATGACAGAGCCCACTTTTAGACGGAAATGGTCTCCACAGAAAATGGAAAAGTGCTGTTTCGTTTTCAGTTTTTATGCTGTGTTTACACAAAAACGCAATGTGGTTGAAAACGCTGTAATGTGCATGCCAGGTCGCTAGATGGCGCGTGTCGGTGTGACCGTGCTCCCATATAGACCAACAACGCATACGTAGAACAACTTCCATTCTACTTCCTAGATGCACGTAGCACAATGTGGCGAAAAAAAGATCCAAAGCTGTCTGTTTTCAATGGACGGATGAAGAAGTGGAGATGTTACTCCTAACCACACTGGACTATAAAGCCTCCAAAGCGCAGGAAAATGTCGACTACTACAACTATCGATGCAGCCATAGAATCTGCTGAACTGAACGGAGAGAGTCCAGGCTCCCCTGCCACCGCCAGCACAACGTCTGATCCGCAGAGCACAAGCGAGGATCCTGGCTGCGACCAGACGGTGAACGTCGGGAAGCGGAGAGACATGCTTCATGTATGTTGTTAAAATGAATGTCGCCTGCAAAGACACAATATATTGTGTCACAATACATTTTAATCTCCTCATATGCAATCTGATTACTTACTATTAAGTGATTCTGTGACTATGAGTATTGTCTTACTGGAACCAAACTTTGTTTATGTTACTTTCCCTTGCCTCTAAGGACAATTGAAGATAATAATTCCCTATATTTGTTCCCTCTTCTCCCTCTTTGCAAGGCAAACCTCCTCAACCACAAATGGGATAGACTGAAGAGAAAACTGCATGTTGATCAAGTGCAGGCAGACCTCGATGTAAAGAAGAAGATTGTGGACATTATGGAGGAGGCAGAGAGGCGCAACACTGACAAGCTAGATAGACTTGCCGAGACCCATCAAAAGATGAGCAACAATAGACTGTACATAGAATGGACGCCGTCTGCCTCCTCGCTGGGTGAAGCCACTCCAAGAACAGCACCCTCTGTTGATGGGCTGCAGTGTAGGTCATAAATCCCGCCTCCGCCAGCAAAGCTTATGGGGCTGTTTATTACAATTTATTACACAGTACATAAATTTTTCTCCCCCTTGCTTGTGATGTTGACATGTAGTTACAGTAAGACTGGTTTGTGCTCAAGTCCTCTTTTTTTCTATGAAGCTCCGTTTTTAAAAGTTATTAGGGGGTTCATGTTTGCTATGATTGACACCTGATACAGCCTATGGGCGTTCAGGGATTGAGTAGCTCTCCCGGGCGATACACTGTTTGAGCCGAGCGTCATCACAGCGACTCTCTGCGACTGCGCGGCCGAATGCGCACAACGCTACTGCACAGCTCTGGTTTCAGGAAATGAAGAAAAATCCCAGAAATACAGAGAGCTTTCTGGCTTCGAATCCGTATACAGGCGGTAGGCTACCAGGTTGTCCATAGTATATACAGTCTATGTGAGCAACAGTTTTGACCTCCTGGTGAGACATTTGACATCCCAGCCCCAACCCTATGTAACAAACCCCAATGTTAGCAGCAGTGAAGGGCATGCCAACATGTAACCCCTACCCAGGTTCATGCACACATCTGTGCATTCAACATGTGCCTCTGGTCCTGTCCAATATCCATACCCACCTGCACTTAACCACCACACACAGCACCTGCATTCTCTCACAGAGGTGCACTGTTGCAGGAGGAAAATGACTATCAGTCACTTTGCGTTCGAAACCTTTACTGTGATTAATATTTTATTTTGCCCCTTGTTTACTACGAGTGAATGTTGACTGCTGTTACAAACTTCCACTGATGTGGGAGGACAAATTATTTAGTCACTTCAAGTTTAAACCTGTGCACATTTTATTTTTACAGTTTTGTCTCATTTTGTTTACTAGTGAATGTTGCCTCCATACTGTTTCAAATGTGCACTGATGCAGGAGGAAATTATTGAGTCACTTTGAGTTTGAAACCTTTACTGTGATGTTTTTTTTTTACATTTGTCTTATTGTTAGCCTACTAGTGGATGTTGCCTGCATACTGTTAAGATGTGCACCAAATGATGCAGGACTAAACAACTCAGGAAGAACATTACTTAAGTTTACAATTTTTGTTTAATGAGACACTTGTTTCCAAGTGGATATCTCTGCATACTGTTTGAAATACACATGTGCACTAATTCAGGAGTAGAAAGCTCAGGAGGAGGAAGGAGAACTTGAGGAGAACTCAAGATTACTGACAGTTTACTGAGTTACAACAGTTTACTGAGTTTTTGTTAAATGTGATAGTATTTGGTTCCAAGTAGATATCTCCTGCGTACTGTCACAGAAACACATATGTTTACTGATTCACAAGTACAAAGATCAGGAGGAAGAAAACAGTCAAACAGTTTACTGTGTTTTTGTTTAATGCGACACTCTATTTTTACAGATATAATCTGCCCTGATTCAAGTAGAAACTACAAAGAGGAAAATAACTTTAATATCGAAACATTCAACTGTGCCTATTTTTACATTGTAGAATCTTTTTTTATATTGGCAGAATCTGTATATTTCAAATCATTAAGTTCAAATAAAAAAGTAGTCTTTCTTTCCTGTTTTTTTTTTTTTTTGTATGTATGATATGTCCTTTTGTGTGTGTGTGTGTGTGTGTGTGTGTGTGTGTGTGTGTGTGTGTGTGTGTGTGTGTGTGTGTGTGTGTGAGTCTGCAGCCAAATACATTTTGGGGGTCCTTGACACAAGTTTATTTAGAAGACATAATGTAGAATCTGGTCAAGCTACTTGGTCAGAATTCTCCTCACTCTCTTTCTGCCTCCCTTATTACAGTCAGTGAGAAACCTGTTGCTCTGTGTGGGAGGCTGGAATTCTCTCTCATGCTGTCTGGCTTTCTGCTCAACATGTAGTGTCGTTATTGGCTGCACAGTAATTGTGAAGGACGAAGCATGCATAAATCACATTTGGCAGGTCATGGATATTTATGTCCATAGGCCACTGCAGGGCTGCAAACCTGCCCTTCAGCTGACCAAATGCACATTCAATAACCATGCGGGCCTTGCAGAGCATAAGTCCAAAGTACTGTTCTGATGGGGTAGAGCCACTGTTTGAGTACTCTTTCATTAGATATGGCAGAAGGGGGTAGGCAGGGTCTCCAAACAGAAAGATAGGTATGGCCTCCTCTCCATCCACGAGCTGCTTCTCTAATGCAGGTATCTTCCCAGTCTTCAAATAAGTATTTAACTTGGAATTGGCGAAGACACGCACGTCATGAATACTTCCAGGCCACTTTATGATGACATCCATAAATCTGTAAGGCAAAGCAATATAGCACCTTTAATGCAAGGTAATTGAAAGTGCTTTACAAATTAAAAACGAATTCTAAAATTCTAAAATAAAACAGCACAGATAAACAGCAGAGACATAAAAACAGATATAGAGCTAAAATAGAAAAACAGTAAAAACACTCAATAAAAGTATTTATCAAACAAAAAGCACTTCGGCCTCAATTACCTGCATTTGTGGTCGCATACAGCTTGGACATTCAGGGAATGTCTGCCCTTCCTGTTTATGTATTTAAAAAAAGTTGCCACATGTGACAGTGTGTCCTTGGAGCTGCTCTGGCCAGTGTGACCCTCATTCCCTGATAAACTTCCCTGGAACTGCCCATTGATTTTCCCATGTAAATCTGCAACTTCCAGACTAGGACTGTAACTAACGACTATTTCAATAGTCGTTGAGTCACTGATTATTGGAACGATGAGTTGACTTATCAGATAATTATGATTTTTTTGTGAAATATAACATGCGGTTGCTTTCATTAAGTGGCAATGACAGTTTTATATTTGCCAGCTTGCTTCTCCTGAAGCACTCCACTGGGGTTCTTGCAGCACCAGCAGCTTTGCTGATACTGGGCTCTTTGAGGGCACTGTTGACTATGAGGTGGAGAGCGTGCCCAGCACAGTGAACTGAAGACCAACCATGTTTTTCTTCCAGCAGTCAAACTGCAGCCACCATGTTGGCCCTATGGTCATGAACTACTGCATTAATTTTGCTGGGCAAAATTTAAAATTTCTCATCACCTCTTCCATCCTTATTATGATGTTTGCAGCAGTTTGCCTCTCCTCCAGAGGTAAAGTGGCAAGGTTCAAAGTCTGCATTTGCCAGTCTTTGGTAATGAAGTGACATGAAAGTTGATTTTTGAAAATATTTAAAATGCAAAAACTAAAATTTCATCAGAAATGATTCAACATACAAGTTTTACATTTTTGATTATTGTAGGTACTCTATGATTTTACCAAAAATTAAATTGTGTATGTCAGCTATTTTAATATATATATATATATATATATATATATATATATATATATATATATAATATATATAAATCAATGTAAATATATAAATTGCTTTTAAATAAATGTATAATTGCTTGTATGAAATGTGTGTGATTGTTTACATTAATTATGAAATGTGTGTGTTATTGCTAACATAAAATAAATGATTGCTTTATATCACTCTGTGTGTGTGTGTGTGTGTGTGTGTGTGTGTGTGTGTGTGTGTGTGTGTGTGTGTGTGTGTGTGTGTGTGTGTGTGTACACAAGGTCTGCTTTGCAAACCTAGCAAGTTTTTTTTTTTTTTGCCTTATCTAGGGTGAAGTTTTTGCAGGTTTTTAAGCACGTACTCGTAGCTGCTGTATGGGACACTGGCACCGCCATGTTTGAATACCCTACCGCTCAGCAGAGACACTATTGCACATGTGTGACTCTAGGCAGATATCGTAATGAACTAAGATGCCTAACTCCACTGGAAAAAACACTTCTGGCAACAGTAGATTACAATGGAATTCATTGTCGACTTTTTTCATTATCAATTTTTGTCGACAGCGTTGACTCATCGTTGCAGCCCTACTCCAGGCATAGGAGGTTACTGTTACAATTGTGTTTAATTTTGGTAGTGTTAGATTTGTACTTTTTCACTTAACTCATGCAATTTAATGAATGTTTCCATTTAACTCACGGGTTGTTTTCATTTAATCAGAACAGTGTGACATCTTACTTGATAAGGAGGAACCTGATGAGTTCCACGGCTCTCTTTGTGTGGTGAGCATGGACTTGTCGTTTTGTTTTGGTGAATTATTTCTGGAGTTCTGTCTTCTGTTTGTGCTGTGTTTGTGGCTGCTTACCTTTCCCCAGAGGCTGCCCCCTTCCCCCGCCTGTGGTACTGAGGCTGACTGCACTCACCTATTCCCAATCAGCATCCCTGGGATAATAGACTGCTGCAGACCTCAGCCTCAGTGCCTGAGTATTATCACCTCCACGCAGTGGTACACAGCTCTTTGTCTTGACGATTAACCCTCCTGTTGTCCTCAAGTTAAGACCTACATCCCATGTCTCAAGGGTCACACTGTCCCAGTCCACACTGACTGGGGTCTTTTTGACCCAGTGAAAAGTCCTGTAGTCCTCACACAGTAAAAAAAAACAAAAAAAACCTGCATCCCACGTCTCATGGGTCACACTGTCCCCAATGTGGAAATATATACACACGCGCACACACATGCACACCCAAGCAGGCAGGCAGGCAGGCAGGCTAGACTCACACACATATAGTAATAATAATAATAATAATAATAAAATTAACAAAAAAATAATAATAAAAAATAATAATGTGCAGACGGAGGGGAGAAGAGAGATGACCTGATATCTCTAGCTGATACCACAGTGTTGAGCAATGATGTTTTGATCAGAAGGACAAAGTTGAATTTTATGATGAATGACGAGATGTCCTTTGAGGATTGGTACAGCTACCATTATGACTTTCAGCCATAAAACAACGTTGTGTTGTAATCTATGGTGTGATGTGCACAAATAAAGTTATCATCTGAAGCAAAATTGCCAGTTTTCGCATCTTTATTGAGTAAGCAAGAATATGTAAGCAAGCATAAGCTACAGCACGAATTCACATTTTAATAATAATAATAGTAATAATAATAATAACAGTAATAATAATAATAAGTGTCACTGTGGTAATCGTCATACTCATGGCGGCTCCAAGGACTGTTAGAATCTCGGTAAAAGTCGGCATCGCGGTCACTCGTGCCCTTCAAGTCTCTCGGAGTTTGATGCTCATCAGAGTGGTTGAAAAGTTCACGCTGATCAACAAAGCTGTTATGTGGTAAATCAGCTTCAGTGGTATCCTCCATGTCACTTGGAGTTACAAGGCTATCGCCATAGGGACGATGCCCCATATTTTCAACGATATATTTTTCTACATGTCTCCTTGATAGCAAGCCATAGCGGTCATACTCTTCATCAGGATTATTCTCCCAGGCCTCATCTTCACTGAAGTGTCCTTCAACATCTAGCTCTGCAGTGTCACTGCGGTAATTGTCATACTCATAGCGGCTCCGAGGACTGTCAGTATCTCGGTAAAAATCAACATCGTGGTCACTCGTGCCCGTCAAGTCCCTTGCAGTCTTATGCTCATCAGAGCGGCGGGACCCCTCCTCGTGCTCATCGCTCTCCTTTTCGCAGTAGTTGTTGTCATTCACAGACACTGTGTTATCTGGACGAATCGATGTCGGTGACGGTGAAGCAATCTCGGATTGAGATGTAGAATCAGCATAGGCAGAATTTGAGGTCAGACAATTGGATGTATCTGATGCAACTACGGCTACTTTGCAGTAGCCATGACAAGACTGCTTCAGAGGACTTGTGACACAAATGACGGTCTCGTAATGGCTGCTGCTATTCGCTAAATAAATCCCCTGTTTAGAGACCCGAACACTGTTGCAACTGTACTGAAACCAACGGTCAGTGTAATATGTGAATACGTTGACACCCAAATAATCTGCTGTTGCTTGAATCTCAACCTCTGTCGCCCAACTTCCTAGAGAGCTGATTTTAGTTGTGTCAATGTAGTCTGACACCAAAAGGTAACCCCTTCTCAGAATGTTGGCGTATGCAGCTTCATTGCTTTGCAAGTGATTCACTACAACTTCTCTTATTCTTCCGTGATGGTGTTCAGTACCGCTCACAGCTACACTGACTGCCCTAAAGAAGCAATTCCCATCACTTTTAATCTTCACATTTTTACAAGGAGCTCCTAATTCACAAACATCCGTGAATTTGCTATACTGCTGTCTATAGTCTACCTTAAGCTTTCTGCACAGCTGTAATGCCACTGCCGCTCTAACGGGGTTAAAGTGTAGCTTTTTACCCATGTCGCCACTAACAACCTCAATGTCTGAGACCTCGCTGTTCATCATGCTCTCATGTCTTTTAAAAGTCTTCTAAAGTAAACAGCATTTTAAATCTCCATGATAACCTGTGACGATGTAAAAACTTTAAATCATCACAAGTCGATAAAGATTGGTCATTTCTGAAGATTCAATCTGAAGATCGACACGAAAAACTTCTGTGGCTCACAAGCTTTCACCTTTTGACAGCTCCATCGTAAATAAAACCTCCCCAGACGACTAAAGACTCCAACTCCGACAAACACCTCCGACAAACACCTGAACAGAGAGGACAACATCAACGACATGGGGACCGTAAGATTTCATGACAATATTATCATACAAACTTGTGTTATCGTCGAGACTTTGAGAATAGTTAGTTTAAAAGCGATGCATTGAATGATGAAGCTAAAGTCCTGCCCACCACTGACCACTGTGGTCCTGTCCTGCATGTTTAACAGCAGAAAAGTTCATGTTATTGTGAGAAATCTCTGCGTTTAGTTTTTACAAAAGATGTAAATCTATTGAAAAACAAAAACAGACAAAATTAACCCTTCCGGGTCCCTGTGGCCGAATTCGGCCATTTGACGAAAAAACAAGAGACTCATTTGGATATATTTTTTTTTTACTGCAGCAAATGTGATGATTTTTTTTTTCTAAGCTTAATTTGAAATTCTACTTGAAAACATGAATTCAACATTTTCACCAGGTCAATAATAAAGCCAGGACAAATTTGTGCCCTCCAGAGTCCCACTTTTTTTGTCGGCTGTAAAATCATATTGGATTAATATTTTTTTCTGATTTTTTTTCATACATCTCTTATTTTACTTCTGCCCTGTTCGAAACTAGCAAATGTTTCATTGAAAATAATTTTTTTAACCCTTTAAGTGCCAATTTAAGACAAAAAGTCACAAATATAGCAAAAATTTAAGGAAAATGACCCTTTTTTTATAAAACATGATCAGAAACTGGTAATCTCTTGCAGGGTATTAAAGTCTTGAATATGTCAGAGATTAGTAATATCATTGGCTTTGATGCATTTTAATTTTTTCTAAAAGTCAATGATATTACTAAACTCTGACATATTCAAGACTTTGATACCCTGCAAGAGATTATGAGATTATGTTTTATTAAAAAAAATGGGTCATTTTCCTTTATTTTTTTGCCCTATTAGTGACTTTTTGTCTTAAATTGGCACTTAAAGGGTTAAAAAAATTGTTTTCAATGAAACATTTGCTAGTTTCGAACAGGGCAGAAGTAAAATAAGAGATGTGTGAAAAAAAATCAGAAAAAAATATTAATCCAATATGATTTTACAGCAGACAAAAAAAGTGGCTTTTTTCGGCCGTGAGGGACTCTGGAGGGAAGTAAGAAATTTCTTATGTACAGCCTTAAAAATTAAGAGTTTGATAAAGTTTCACTCAAATATGTTTTCATGTTTCCATGAATCAAGTGTGTGTTTTCTACCACAAAATGTCAAACTTCATTATGGTTTTGACAGGGAAAAACTCACCTTAAGTGTAATCGAAACACTGTCCTTTTGTAGAAATCCGTTGTTTTCAAACTGAAAACTGAGGATTTTCTTATTATTGAATCCTAACAATTATCAATTTATAGAGTTTTTCACAACAGGGTTACAAAGTGCTTTACAGATGTAGCCACTGCTCTAAAATATTGATATGATAGGAATATATGTAGCCTGGCTGTGCCATCCTATGAGACATACTAAGATATAGTTTTCAAAAATGGGTAGTTCTGTAAAGAAATAACAAAGGTTTCTGATTTAATATGTTTTTTAAACTCTTTGTCATGGGCTACTTCCAAGCAGTATAAACACTCCCCAATAAACTCTCAGACGCAGTTGATTCACCTCTTCAAGTTTACTGAGGAATCTTGTGAAACTGATACAGTAACATATAAATGATACAGTAACATATAAAACAATGAGTTACGGCTTACACACAGACAAGCAGTAGAGCTAAGCTACATTAGCTTTAGCCGTTATAATCACAAACAAGCTAGAATGCCGCTAGCAACGGAAAACATGAAGCTAACTTTGTGTAGCATTAGCGATTAGCGCCATAGCCGTTTTAACAACTTAATTACACTTGAACAACCTTCATCTTAATACAACAATACAACAACGTATGAACACTTACAGACGTTGCATGGACTAGAGGGATGAAAACGGAGGAAAGGAGAGGAGCTTAGAACTGAACAGTTGACGGACCTCGCGAATCTGCCCTCAATAACTTCCGGTTTCTCTGTGACTCGCCGATGTAAACAACTCACACTAGAGCGCAAAAACACTTCAGTAGGACGCGTTCAAGCAGCACAACACACATTCAAGCAACATTACACTCCCGCCTGGGGTCTCTAAAGAACCCACATCAACAAACACTCTCAGTCTTTGGAGAGAAAAGCAGGACATCTTCTGTAGCAGGTCGAAGAAATGTCTTCCTGCTTCCGTCCTTGACAACGTCCACTTCTATTTTTCGAACCAGGCCATCTTCGCCTGGAAAGGTCTTTGAGATGGCGGCCATTGGCCATTGGTTCCTCTTTGCTTGATTGTCTTTCAGAAGAACTATGTCTCCGTCCTGGAGGCTCGGCTGTTTCTCCTGCCACTTTTGTCGAAGCTGCAGCGTTTTGAGATGTTCATGCCTCCACCTGTTCCAAAACGTGTCTGCGAGGCTTTGAACCCACTTCCACTCCTCTCTGATGAGATCCACTTCTTTAAATCCATCTGAGGGGGCAAAGAGCCTGTCTTAAGAGTCAAAAGCCATAAGCGTCGTCAGAACTTCATGCGTCAGGTGAGACTTCCTTTGCTCAAGCAGCATGCAGTCCAAAATACGGCGGGCGATGCCAATCATTCGTTCCCATGCGCCCCCCCATATGGGACGCTCGGGCGGGTTAAACACCCATGTGCAGCTGTGTGTGTTCAGGTATTTTTCCACACTGTTGAAACCTGGATTGGTCTTGTCCATCTCCAGTCCACGGGAGGCACCGATGAAGTTAGTGCCGCAGTCAGAGCGGATTTGTGTCGCTGGCCCTCTGATGGCAAAGAACCTCCTCAAGGCGTTGATGAAGCTGCTGGAACTCATTGCCTCAATTATCTCGATGTGAACTGCTCTTGAACACATGCACGAGAACATCACGGCCCATCATTTGGAGTTGGAGGTTCCTCCTCTTGTGCGGCGTGTGACTATGTCCCATGGTCCAAAAACGTCAACACCTACATAAGTGAAAGGAGGTGCTACTTGTAGTCCTTCTGCTGGCAAGGCTGCCATCTGCTGATGTTCCGTCTTTCCCCTCAGCTTTCGGCAGATGATACATCTGTGAAGCAGACTGCTGATGCAGCGTTTGGCTCCTACCAGCCAGAACCCTGCTGCTCGAATGGCACCTTCAGTCAGATGTCTTCCTTGGTGTTTCACCGCTTCGTGGTAGTGAGACACAAGCAGGTATGCAAGATGATGCCGACCGGAAATAATGACGGGGTTAGTCTCATTCATGGTGAGGCCTGACTGGCCAATTCAGCCCCCGACTCTGAGAAGTTGATCTTGGTCCATGGTGGGATGCAACTTCCACAGGCTGCTGGAGGATGGAATGTTAGACCCTGAGTTGATGCACTTAAGTTCTTCCGCATAGCACTCATTCTGAACACTCTTCACAATGCACACTTTAGCTTTCAATAGCTCTTCTCCTGTAGGAAGACAGATGTGCCACCCCTGACATCCATTCTGAGCAGAGTGAGCGAAGGAACGAGCTATGTGGATGAAGTGGGCTATGGCTGTGAGGAGAGTGCTGAACTTGGAGAAACGTTCAAAACGCTGTGGATGTACCACATCTCTGGTAACATGCGTGAAACTTGGCACGACCTGAGAACGTACCTCAGAGTCGGTGTCAGGGTCGATAAGGTCGTAGGTCTCCTGAAACTCAGATGACTGCAGAGACACATCATGGAGAAAGGCTGGTCCTGTGAGCCACGTTGTGCTACTAAGCAGGGCTGGTGTCACAGTTCTTGACCCGATGTCAGCTGGGTTGAGGTGCGTTGGGACGTATTTCCACTGACCAGAACAAGGTGATTGATGGATTCGCTGGATTCTGTTGTGTACGTAAACATAGAATCTCCTAGACCAGGGGTCTCAAACTCAATTTACCCGGGGGTCGCTGGACGTAGATTCTGGTTGAGGCTGGGCCGCACCAGGTTTTTCACAAGAAAAGCTCTTACAAAAACATTCCAGTGTTATCAAATGTCTTTGTTTATTCATTTATTCATCCTTTTTTGTCTTAGAAAATTTAAATAAATTAACAACTCATAAGAAAAAAATAAATCAGTAATAAATAAAATGATAATAACAATAATAATTCAGCAGATATAGAAGACTGAATAAACCACATATAGTTGCTGACTAGAGAAATGTAATTATTATTCAGATTCAAATGTCTGTATTAACAGCTCTTTAACCTTTAACTTTCTGAACATGAATGGAACATTGAACATAAACTGTTATGAACATGGCTTCTTCTGCCTACTTCTTACTGCTAGAGACCTGGCAGCGCTTCCTCTTGCATAGCCGAGCCACATTTGGCTTAAGGGAGGAGGCAGTCGAGACCCTCAGTAGGGCTTGAAGATGCTCATCCGCTTTTTTTCTGTCCCGCTGAGTAGCAACTTTCGGGTTCCGACTGAGCGTAAAGCGCGTGAAGCGGGAGCGGCCGCAACATTACACACGCGCAGCATCCCATCAAAGTGCCCTTGCTCCTCGAGCTGTTGTTCCAGAACAATCATGGATATGCCGCTATGTTTTCCTGGCTGTACTAAACACGTTTGTACACTTTATCCAAGAATTAAAGTCGGCTACAGGGCTATACACACACAGAGAGAGACAGACCAGCGCTGTAGACTAGGACTTGTGTAGATATACTGATGCCGTATGTTTTCACCGTCTGTGCATAAAATGACAAATATAAAATGCACACAAATATGCAGATACTGAAATAATGAAAACTGACCGGTGTAACAGGTGTTGTGCCAAAAATGATTGTCTGCCAGAAACATATTTCCGGTCGCGGGAGCGTAAAAACGTCAATTTCTCTGGATTAAACGGTCATAATATGCAGGGACACACAGCTGTATTATACTGTAGTTATAGCAAAGGCGTGTGTATTTGAAAGTTTAACGTTTGTCGTTTTGTTATTATTACAACTGGCCAAAAGAACCCAAGTTAGTAGCGAAATCGGGCAATGTAAATACGTGATACATGTCTCTGTGCTTGGTATGTGTCATGACTGTATTGGTTGCTTGTCAATAAAAGCGACCGGAACTCAGTTTCTGACAGACAATCCCCTTTTCGCACAACACCGGATTCTCTCGTTATTTCATGTGTGACTTCATGCAACGATCTACAAGAAGGCTCGCGGCTCGTGACTCGTGACCGTAGTTTGGCCGTGAAGTTGTCGTCGTTCCGCGGCGCTTCCGCATCCGGTCACAATGTCGCGAGTTCGCAATAAGCCCGGCAGATGTCTCGCCCCCGAGAGCCATATACCCCACCGTGATTGGTAGGTTCGTTCAGCTCCTCACACAACACTGAAAAGTGTCAATCATATCAAACTCGCGGGCCGCACTAATATTAAACTTTTGTTTTAAGGCGGGGGCCACAAACTAAAGTCCCGTGGGCCGCAGTTGGCCCGAGGGCCGCAGTTGGCCCGCGGGCCGCGAGCTTGAGACCCCTGTCCTAGACCGATTGTGAATGTACCCCAACACAACCTTACTATCTGTATAGTAGGTGATGCTGTCAAATGTTGTATCCATCTCTGCGACTATCATCTCAGCGATCTCAACGGCAAGTACTGCTGCGCAAAGCTCGAGTCTCGGGATAGTCAAGCCAGGCCGAGGGGCCAACTTCGCCTTCCCAAAGACAAAACCAATTTCCGTCTGTACTTGGTGGCTAGTCACCTTCATGTAGGCCACAGCTGCTATTGCTTTGACTGATGCGTCTGCGAAGACACAGAGTTCTCTTTTCAGTGCGCCTGCAGTGGAGAAGGATGTATAAGGGCATGGTATCTGGAGACCCTCTAGATCTTGGAGCGACTGTTTCCATCTAGTCCACTCGATCCCCATGTCTTTGGGAAGAGGTGAGTCCCAGTCCTCTGCTGCCGCGGTGAGTTCTCTGAGTATCAGTCTTCCATGAACCGTGATGGGTGCGAGGAACCCTAGCGGATCGTAGAGGCTATTCACCGTCGAGAGCACCCCTCTGCGGGTGAATGGCTTCTGGTCATCTCCAATCTGAAACATGAAGGTGTCTGTATGCATGTCCCAGGCCAATCCAAGGCTACGTTGGATGGGCAAATCATCAACGAAGAGATCTAGGCTGTTGACGTCCTTGGATCGATCTTCGGGTGGGAATGCTTTGATGACTGCAGGCCGATTTGAAGCAATTTTGTGAAGCCTGAGGTTAGAGGCTGCAAGCATCTTCTGTGCTCGCCCAAGGACACTGATGGCTTCTTCCTCTGAGCTAAAGGACTTCAAAGCGTCATCAACGTAGAACTCACAGTCAATGAATTTTCTTGCGTCGCTTCCATAGTCGGCTTCTGCTTCTTTGGCTGCCTGTCGCAAACCATACACTGCGACGGCAGGCGATGGACTGTTCCCAAAAAGGTGGACCCGCATTCTATAGTCCATGATGTCAGAGGTTGGATCATTGTTCCTATACCACAGGAAGCGGAGGAAGTCACGGTGGTCCTCCTTCACAATGAAGCAATGAAACATGTGCTCAATGTCTGCAGTGACCGCCACTTGTTCCTTCCTGAACCTCAAAAGAACACCTAACAGGCTATTATTAAGGTCAGGGCCAGTGAGCAAAACATCGTTGAGCGATACTCCTTCACATGACGCGCTGCTGTCGAAGACGACTCTGATCTTATCCGGCTTCCTGGGATGACACACCCCAAACAGGGGCAGGTACCAGCACTCTTGTCCAGGCTGCACCGGCGGGGCAACTTCTGTGTGCGCCTTCTTAAGCATCTTTTCCATAAACTCTAGGAAGTCAGCTTTCATCTGTGGTCGTTTTTCCAACGAGCGCTGGAGTGAGACAAGACGGACAAAAGCTTGTTTTCTGTTATTGGGCAGTCGCTGTCTCGGCGACCGAAAGGGTAACGGTGCGACCCAGCTTTTGGAGTTGTCCTGATAGCACCCAGACTCCATAATCCTAAGAAACTCTAAATCTTTCATGGATGGAGCCAGTCTGTGGTCATCAAGAGAACGAGCGAAGACGGTCTGACCCAAGCAGTCTCCAGTGAGGCTCATCAAGCCGCAGGTGGAAGTTGGTGTCGGATAATGTTGATGTTTAGGTGCTTGACCGAATACCTCTTTCACTCTGATGTGGTTGTCACATGGCTGAAGATGACTCGCACGACCATTCTCTAAGATGGCTGTTTTATAACTTCTGACCTCGGGTGGTCTATGAGCGCCTCCAAGGCACACGTCACCGATGACAACCCATCCTAGGTCAAGCCTTTGTGCAAACGGTGCATCTCCAGGACCGCTTATCTGCTCTCGGACCTTGTGGACCCTTAAGATGTCTCTGCCTAGTAAGAGGAGTATTTTAGCATCAGGATCTAAGGGTGGAATCTTGTCGGCGATGTGTTTCAGATGGGCATGATGGTAAGCTGCATCTGGTGTAGGGATCTCGGTGCAGACGTTAGGGATTTGATTGCACTCGAGGAGTGTAGGCAAACGAACGCTTACTTCCTTATTCACCGACTCTACTGTGTAACCGATGGCTCTCCTCCCCGCCGTCTCTGTACGGCCTGCACAGGTCTTGAGTGTATAAGAATAGGAGCTTCCGGAGATCTTGAAAATTTCGAAGAACTCAGACCGTGCCAGGGAGCGGTTGCTCTGTTCGTCCAATATGGCGTACATTCTCTTTGACTCCTCCCTGGAACTCGATCCATCGATCCAGTCGCATCCATTCGGGAACACGCTAACGAGACAGATCTTAGCACATGCTCTGGCACTCAATCCTTCACCGCATACCTGTGTGCACATTAGGGGTGTGAATCTCAGCACTGAGGACGATTCAATACGCATCTCGATGCACTGCCAGCGATACGATACTTTAACGATACATGGAATTTTCTGGCGATACGATGCGATACGATTCACCCTCTTCATGATGCGATACGATGCGATAATCATTTAGTTCAAATCAATGCGATCCGATACGATATGATGCAATCTGTTGCGATATGATGCAATTTAACATGATGCAAATAAGCAAAGAAAAAAAAGAAATTAAAAAAAAAGTGGAATTCAGTATGGTACTACAAAAAGGATTTGGCTTTATTCCTTATAGGCACTTGGCAGTAAATTCAACAAAAGTGCTTTTTGTCTTTTTTCTATGCTCCTTTGGGTTCCATTTTGTACAGTTACACAGATTAGACAGACCTCCTGCAACTGTTAAGGAATCTGAATCAATAAAATCAAAAAATCAAAAAAAAAAAGGATTCCAATCCCAACCCTACATCACACAAGTGCTCTTTACTTGTTGGGTAATATTACAGTACACATTATTAAACAACTAATGCACTGCCTAACATGGTGCAAATAAACCATTCAATGGCTATACTACTGTCTGCCAAACCAATGTGCTAGAGTTGACTTTCTAACTGGTCACTGAAAATCAGTGATCTGAGTGAGTTCTGCAATAACAAAAGAGTAAAACAATTAAACAATAATTACTGCTGTAAAAAGTACAGTAAACAGCAACAACAAAACACTCTCAATGAGTAACTTAAAGTGACACTTTCAACAGTGCAATCAATGTTTGTTCATATTCCTGTCTGCCAAACATACTGTTAATATGAACTCACTAGGAGGTAGGCTAATACAGTAGTGAGAAGAAAGTGTAAAACAACTTATACCCTTTCACAATTGGGTTTTGTGCAAAGAAAATGTAAACAATTTGGCACCTGAGACTTAAAGCTGCTGCTGTAGTCTAAACACAAACAGACACCTCTCACTGAGTGTCTTATATGAAATGTCCATCTCTATATAACATAAAGTAAAATATAATTTAAACAATATGGCAGTCACAGGCTCAAAGTTGCTGTGTGTATTGTAGTGTAAACAGACTACTCTCACTGAGTGTCTCATGAAATGTCCATAAGAATTAGAGAAAGATCTGTTTTCATTTTCTTTTCTTTTTTTAAATGCCACTCTCACTATCCACACCTCACTTTGTGATGCATGTCATATGGCGTTGCTTCAGGTTTTTTTTCAGGAAGATTAGCTGGTCCACATGTTCAGGAAGAAGCCAACTGCGCTCTGCTGTTATGATGTCGCCTGCTGTGCTAAACACTCGTTCAGAGGGGACACTTGTTGCAGGGATGGACAAATAGCTCCTGGCCAATTTGAAAGCAGTGGAAGATCCACTTGTTCTTTCCACCACTGCAACACGTCACCATTGACATCTAACCCATTCCTCCCCCTGTATTTTGTTATTTCCTCCTTAGCTCTCTCCCTTATGGTCTTCTCTGGTGCTCTAGGAGCGAGGAAACCTCCAAGCAACTGGTCCATGGCTGACTTCTTCTTGGGAGGTTCTGGCTCATCATCTAGGGTAGACAAGACAAAGCAAGACAGGACAAAAGAAATATGAGTCACAACAATATGTCTACAAAACTATCACAAACACAAACAACAAAAAAAACAGTATAATGCACATCCTCCTCTTGGTGCTGATACATTAACAGGAATCATAAAAAATAGCACAGTCTCATAACACTTTGTAATGCTCCAAATTAATTAACATGCAGCTGCGCGAAGCTGTGCTTTTGTTTACAATAATATCAGCATATTAAATTAGTTATTAGTTAAATACCATATAACTGCATTACAATATCATCATCACTCCTATTTTCAAATCAATGCACTATTATAGATAACAAAACCAAGTCCCAAAAACAAACCACTCTCATCTTCCTCCATCTCCTCCACATCATTTTCATTGTCGTCCTCCTCCTCCTTCTCCTCCTCCTCCTCCCTGTGGCCTCTCCCATCACCTTCTGCTTGAGCTGCCTGGCTCTCATCATCCAGCATACCATCAGCCCTTGCCTGACAATCATCAGAGCAGAGAGCAGCTGAGATTATCATCATCATCATCATCATCTAGAAAAGCCAACTTGGACAAGTGTTGAAAACTAGCATAAGTGTTAATATATTTTCCTTGTGAAATAAATAAATACATATAATGTCATTAGAACTAAAACAGAAAACCCTTAAGTGAGACAGAAAATAATGAGAGTAAAACTAACTGCTGATAATATTGTATTTCCTACCATATCCTCCACTTGTTCTGCTATCCTCAGGAATATCACGTCCTTTGCAGTGTTGTCAGCATCCATGAAGTGCAGGTCTTTGAAGCGGGGGTCAAGGGCTGAGGCATTGTTGAGGAAGTCTTGAATGTAGTTGTAGCGGGAATCAAAGTCCTGTCTGAAATTTTCTTTCATCTTGCCAATGACTGCTAGATCGCTGTGGTTTTCTCCAAATTCTGACCGTAGTTTGGCCAGTAAAGGGGAAACGATGGAGATGGTGGGGGTCTTTTCCTCGCTGAGGAGCTTGGTTGCCAGTTTCAGGGGGGACATCAGTTTCACAATTTCTGGGATAACTTTCATCTCCTCATCTGAGAGGAGAGGCAGTGGTTCTCCCCTTGGCTTGATTTTCCTTAATACTGCCGCCACAGCATCCTTCTGTTCCCAATAACGCTCCAACATCTCAAGGGAACTATTCCACCGTGTGGAAACATCATGAATTAGCTTGTGGTGTGCCAGACCCAAGTTGTGCTGCTGATCACGGAGAGCATCAGATGCTTAGGTACTTTTGTGAAAAAATGTAACGGCTCTCCTTATTTTCACCATGATAGGTTCCACCTGGTCTGCTTTAAATGTTTTTTGCGAGGACAAATTAAGTGTGTGTGCTATGCATCGCATATGCGGCTTCATTTCTGCTCCAGACCCAGCCAGTATCATGTTTGTTGCATTATCCGTGACTAACGCTGGCTTCTTGTCGCTAATCTTCCACTCGCGGCTAACGTCGCGCAGTAACGCTGCAAGATTAGCTCCGGTGTGAGACTCACGGAAAGCTCTGGTCTGGAGAGCGAAGTTTTGCATTTCCCACTCCGTGTCAATGTGGTGTGCCGTCACTGTTATATATGAGTCAGTGGCGCAAGACGTCCACCCATCCACTGTAAGAGCAACTCTTTGTGCACTGTTCAGCGACACAACAATCTCACTTCTCACTTTGTTGTACAGATCGGGAATATGTTTGTCAGTGAAGACAGACCTGTCTGGTATTTTATATCTGGGTTCCAAAACGTGCATGAGCTGTCTGAAGCCCTCGTTTCCTACCACGCTGTAAGGCTGGATGTCTTTACATATGAAGTAAGCAGTGGCTTTAGTTATAGCCATTGCGCGGTCACAGTTTGCTGCGAGAGGACCCCCAAAATAAGAAGCGACACTTTTCTGATCCTGACCTGATTTGCTCTTTTTTTCTCCGGTGTCCGACGAGGAACTAGACGGGGAGGCGGGGGAGGTGGCGTTAGACTTGTCGGTGATGTGGTGTCCCCTTTTTAGTGGGTTTGCATGTTTGTCGTGCTGCCGTTGTACGGCTTCTTAACGCGGCATTCCTTGCAAATGACGAATGTTTTGTCGAGCTTTCCGTCTTTCTTTGCAAATCCGTAGTGTTTCCAAACATAGGATTTAAACGTAGCGGGTGCATTACAAATAAACTCTTCCTCGCTGCTACTCACTTGAACGCGGTCCATGCTGTTTTACTTGTAGTGTATTAAATTTCCCTCACGGCTTCTGTCCGTATTCAATACAAAACGCGAAATAATGATGGTGCATTCATTGCGCCTGGGGAACAGCAGATGGGGTGAAGTTTAACATGAATAAAACGGTGCTTGCATCGGATTTTACCGATACCCACCAACGCATCTAGATGAATCTAGATTTCATCCGTCAATTGCATCGATACCCAGTGAATGAGCCGACGCAGTCGCATCGCGCACATGCGCATCGATGCATCGATTAATATAGATTATTTTCCACACCCTTAGTGCACATCAACTTGACCTCCTGGCTGTCCGCTTTGTCCTCCTCCCCGCCATCCTCTGAAGTGGAAGGGAACGACTTGGATTTCCAAGTAGGTGTGTTGGGGTGAAGTGCTGTTACATGAGCAGTGCTTTGGCACTCTGTGCACTTTATCTCAACTGTGCAGTTCTTTGCAAGATGCTCTGTTGAGGAGCAACAGCGAAAACAGATGTAATGCTCTTTCAAAAGCTGCTTGCGATCATTTATGCTCTTCTCATGGAAGCCTCTGCACTTCCTCAAAGGGTGGGGCTTTTTATGCAGAGGGCAGTGTTTGTTGGGATCGATTCGTTCTGTACCTTCTCTAGATTCAGTATTAGCAGTTCCTGAAACCTGCGTCTTGTGGACGTATACAGATGTTTTTGCTGGCCTCTCCCACTTATTCTTTCTCTCTACTGGCGCTTGGGCTTGAGCGAAGAAGTTGAAGCTTGGATCTGTGCAAGCTCTTGCTTCTGTAGAGATGAAGTTCACTAGTACACAAAAAGGTGGGAAGGTGACCAAGTGCTCCTGTTTGTATCTTGTCCCGAAATACAGCCATTTTTCTTGCAAGTTGTAGGGGAGTTTCTCGATAATAGGTCTGATTCCTCTGGAAGTGTCCAAATATGACAGGGGTCATAGGGGCGAGGTAGCCGTCTTCCTTAGCAGCTTGCAACTCAGACAGCAGGTCGGCTAGATCCCTGAGTTTCTGTGGATCCTTCATTGTGACCTTTGGAAAGTTCTCTAGTTTGTTGAATAAAGCCTGTTCAACGGCCTCTGGTGAGCCGTATACTTCATCGAGACGTCTCCATGCCATGTACAGTCTAGTAATTTGATCCCTAATATTAACTGTTCTTATTCTTCTCACCTGCTCTGCTGACTCTTTTCCCAGGTGCTTTGTGAGGAGGTCGAGTTCTTCAGCAGCAGACAGATCAAGGTCGGCAATAGCATTTTGGAACGATGTTTTCCAGGCCCAATAGTTCATTGGCTGTTCATCATATACGGTGAGGCCCGAAGTAACCAGGTGGTTACGAGCGAGGTATTTGATGAGGTCTCCTGTGGATGCAGGATAATCTTGGCTGGCTCCGTTGGATGTCCTGTGAGCGGACTGGAGAGCAGGACATGGAGGATCCATGTTGAAGTTCTGTTGTGAGCATTCCTCACGAGGTTGAAAAGTTGGACTGTGGTTGAGAGGCTTGTAAAGTCCTTGCTTTGGTGGTGCACCGCTGATCTGAAAGGGTTGGGGGTCTTGACCTTGCACAGTTTCAGTGGGTGTAGCAGCTTGTGCTCGGCTTGTGTTGGGCAGCTGAGACGGAGTGATGACAGTTGGTTGGGGATGTGGCGAATAACAGGTTGGTGAAGCGTTGTCGCTCTCTCTTTTAGCAGATAAACTTTTGTTGGACAGGCTGGCTTGCTCCGACACATAAGAGGCAACACACTGGACTTTGGATTGGAGATGCGGGTCGTTAGCTTCGCTGCGTACCTCAAAGCCCATGTCTTGAAGACCAGCCAAAAGAGTATTCGCCTCTGCTATTGCAGCATCTTTATCTTTCTCAGCATTTAATGCGTCGAGGTTAGCTTGGATACGGGCTTGCTCCACTTTCAGTTCAATTTCCCTTTGCGAGTGCGCCGCTCGAGCTTGTGCTGCTTCGGCCTTTGCCTTGGCCATGGCGACAGCCATGCTAATCTTTGAGCTGGATGACAAACCAGATGAGCGAGTGCTCCTCAAGCACGCACACTCTGATTGGTTATCGTTTCCTTTATTGCTGATGCTACGTTGTGACATTGTGACTCACTGTGTTTCCAATATCGGGAGAAGGAGGCCAACGTGAAGCTGTCTGGAAGCTGTAGAGTTAGCTGCTTATCTCTTGATATGGAGTCGCTCTGTTCGGTAGCAATTCTTGTGTCCCTCGTTCGTCGTACTGCCGTCTTTTCACTGTCCCTCGTTCGTCGTACTGCCGTCTTTTCACTGTCATGGGCTACTTCCAAGCAGTATAAACACTCCCCAATAAACTCTCAGACGCAGTTGATTCACCTCTTCAAGTTTACTGAGGAATCTTGTGAAACTGAAATGATACAGTAACATTTAAAACAATGAGTTATGGCTTACACACAGACAAGCAGTAGAGCTAAGCTACATTAGCTTTAGCCGTTATAATCACAAACGAGCTAGAATGCCGCTAGCAACGGAAAACATGAAGCTAGCTTTGTGTAGCATTAGCGATTAGCACCATAGCCGTTTCAACAACTTAATTACACTTAAACAACCTTCATCTTAATACAACAACGTACGAACACTTACAAACGTTGCATGGACTAGAGGGATGAAAACGGAGGAAAGGAGAGGAGCTTAGAACTGAACAGTTGACGGACCTCGCGAATCTGCCCTCAATAACTTCCGGTTTCTCAGTGACTCGCCGGCTATGTGTTGCCATGGCAACACGTAGCAAACAACTCACACTAAAGCGCAAAAACACTTCAGTAGGACGCGTTCAAGCAGCACAACACACATCCAAGCAACATTACAGCAAGGCTACATATATTCCTATCATATCAATATTTTAGAGCAGTGGCTACATCTGTAAAGCACTTTGTAACCCTGTTTTGAAAAACTCTATAAATTGAAAATTGTTAGGATTCAATAATAAGAAAATCCTCAGTTTTCAGTTTGAAAAAAAAGGATTTCTACAAAAGGACAGCGTTTCGATTACACTTAAGGTGAGTTTTTCCCTGTCAAAACCATAATGAAGTTTGACATTTTGTGGTAGAAAACACACACTTGATTCATGGAAACATGAAAACAAATTTGAGTGAAACTTTATCAAACTTAATTTTTAAGGCTGTACAAAAGAAATTTCTTTTCTTGTCTGTTTTTGTTTTTCAATAGATTTACATCTATTGTAAAAACTAAACGCAGAGATTTCTCACAATAACATGAACTTTTCTGCTGTTAAACATGCAGGACAGGACCACAGTGGTCAGTGGTGGGCAGGACTTTAGCTTCATCATTCAATGCATCGCTTTTAAACTAACAATTCTCAAAGTCTCGACGATAACACAAGTTTGTATGATAATATTGTCATGAAATCTTACGGTCTCCATGTCGTTGATGTTGTCCTCTCTGTTCAGGTGTTTGTCGGAGTTGGAGTCTTTAGTCGTCTGGGGAGGTTTTATTTACGATGGAGCTGTCAAAAGGTGAAAGCTTGTGAGCCACAGAAGTTTTTCGTGTCGATCTTCAGATTGAATCTTCAGAAATGACCAATCTTTATCGACTTGTAAAGATTTAAAGTTTTTACATCGTCACAGGTTACCATGGAGATTTAAAATGCTGTTTACTTTAGAAAAACACTTACACTGGTAGGTTATATCTAAAAATTTAATATCAACTTTAATTCACTTTAATCTCAAAGGAATATAAATATCTCTTGAGGTAAAGTTGGGGTTATTTTCTGTTAACTAGTTTAAGAGTTTAAAAAGCATATTAAATCAGAAACCTTTGTTATTTCTTTACAGAACTACCCATTTTTGAAAACTATATCTTAGTATGTCTCATAGGTAATCCAACAAAAACTGGAAACTTTGTGTTTAATTATAATTTCCACTAAATATTTTAACTTGTATTTAATTTTCATACCTTTAAATATGTTTTTCACAACATCTGAGGTCAGTAGATTTTCTTGTAAAAAAATATAGGCTACTAAAAATAGCCCATATATTCTAGCCTGGCTGTGCCATCCTGTTGATAGACAGACTACTGTAACCAATCACCGTAACCAAGCATCTGACATCATTACAGATGCTTGGTTACGGTGATTGGTTACAGTAGTACATGGACCAATCAGGGGCTGCCTTTCCCTGTTGTCCGGGTAACAGTGAAAACACGGTCTCTGATTGGCCCGATTATTTTCTGATCGGGAATACATGCTCCCAATGGGCCGAAGTCCAGACTGTGGTGGGAAGGAACGTCAATCACTTGACGAAGTGATTCACGCAACAGGATGGCACAGCCAGGCTACATATATTCCTATCATATCAATATTTTAGAGCAGTGGCTACATCTGTAAAGCACTTTGTAACCCTGTTTTGAAAAACTCTATAAATTGATAATTGTTAGGATTCAATAATAAGAAAATCCTCAGTTTTCAGTTTGAAAAAAACAGATTTCTACAAAAGGACAGTGTTTCAATTACACTTAATTATTTACTCAGAATGCTTCATTTACATGTGAAAACCAAAAAAAATCTCACAGGGGAGGATACCCCCGGACCCCCCTACAGGGTTCTAGTTTCCAAACCTTCAGCCCCACCTACTATTTTTCTGACCAGCCGCCACTACTACAGGACCTAACCCCTGACCCCTACAGTCAATCATTCTCGATGCAGACGATGAAGCAAACTTTTTTTACTCAAAGACTGCTGAGCTGGGCCCAGGAGCTGAATCTGTTATCAAGGTATATGTTGTTTTTTCTTTGTTTTTTCAGAAATTCATGTACTCTTACTTCTTTAGTGTGATAAAAACAAATTCTCAAATAACTGCACATTTGTAGTTTAAAAAAACAATTGAAATTGCCGGTAGATATGATAAGGGGTGGACTTTTTAAACCAACACAAGCTTTTCTTCTGCCATTCTCGCGGTTGGTTTTCCTCATTCATCAGGCACTTAGGAGTAAAGTAGAAGGCAGGTCGGGTGAGCTGTATTTACCTTCAGGAAGGAGTTTATCCAGGGCCAGGCTTGCATGAGCCATGTTTACATGTGCAAAATTTCTTTATCTGATATGAAAAATTGAGGGATTGGAAATTCTGAATCAGCTGTTTATATGGGCACAATCTGATCATGATGTGCACCAAGCTTTATTTAGATTAGGACCATTTGGACAGAGTGCAGAGTTGTCTGATTTCACTAAAACAACTGCAGAAGAAGAGTTGTATTTACACCTGTGCTGTCAACAAACTAAAAAAACAACAGGGTAGTGGCTCCCCCTGTTAAATGTTGTCACTAGATGGCGCCCTTGCTTACTTATTTTCCTGTCCTGTCAAAGGTTGCACTGTGTGTGCAGATGTGACATCATTATGCTGTATGTTCATCTTGTTGGGGGGGGGGGGGGCAGTCATGGTACCTGTAGTTGTGTTTTATGTCCAGAGTGTTAATGAACCTTCACATAATATGCTACAAGCGATTTATTTGCAAAAGGGGTTTGAGAAACAAGAACGTGATGCAGCCACGGGTCAGTCAAACCCTTAACGCAGCATCGCCGATGCATCCACGTCCACGGCATCTGAAACTCCGCGAAAGAAACTTCGCTCGAGGTTCTAGGCTGTATTGGGACATCGGAAAAAGTGCCTAGAAAGTGAATTTCGTTCAAATACGCTGGTGCTACTTGTTCAATGCATTTTTGCATAGACAATACCATTCATTCATACCATCCGTGGCTGCATCACGTTCTTGTTTCTCAAACCCCTTTTGCAAATAAATCGCTTGTAGCATATTATGTGAAACCCAGTGTCATCAGGAACATTGTTAAAGTCGATATCAACGCAAAGTTTATAAGTTTCTGCAAGGTCCTTTGTCTCACCCTGTAGAGAAAGCCACTTTCTAATACTAGTTCTGTAAGTTTCCCAACATGTCCTTGTAAAGTCGAGAACGTCTTCACTCTGGACAGATGAGAGATGACAGATGCATGTAGCATCGTTTCGCTCCTTTTTATGCACTTTTGAAGGCTGTTTTCTTTTGTTCCTTTTCTTTTCTTCCTCTTCACTTGTCTCGCAGCGAGATGCGGTCATCGCCATGTTTGTGTATTTCTGATACTATGGCAACGAGACTCGGCTCCTATTGGGCCACATGACAAAAATCGCTTCATCCCCTGCATATTCGATTGCGCATGTGCAAGTATCACTACGCCGCAGAAGGGAAATAGTTCGACACCGAAACACTGATTATTAAAAATCTACAGGATGGCATGAGTAGATATTTTTTTTAGTACTTACTATCAATAGAGCTTTTTTATGAATCACAGTTTATGTTGCCCCACTGAAGTGGAACGAGATTCACTTTCTAAGCACTTTTTCCTCTGTCCCAATACAGCCTATACACCGCAGAAAGGAAATAGTTCGACACCGAAACACTAATTACTAAAAATCGACAGGATGGCATGAGTAGATATATTTTTTTAGTCCTTACTATCAATAGAGCTTTTTTATGAATCACAGTTTATATCGCACCACTAAAGTGGAATGAACCAACACGATCTCATTCAGCCAATACAGCCTAATTGTAGGCTAAGCTAATGTGTATTCATGCCACTTCCTGAACGCAGGGTGATGGGGTGGGGAAAGAGGGGGAGGCCTGTCACTCATGGCAGACCGCGCCCCTCTCAGTCGAGGCCCGCCCCCACGGAAAAACAGGGTCAAAAGTGAACCTGAAACTTTTCAAGTTGAATCCGAAAAAAGATTTGAATCTGAAAAAAAAAAAATCTGAAACCAAAAAAAGAAACATCAGAATTCCTGTATATACTCTGTCAGATCATGTTAAGGCCTGCGTATTCAAACTATAAAACTACTGTAAAACTGGTAGTTTGGTTTGTTTCAAAAATTGTATTTTTGGCTCATCTCAATCCTACACTGACTGAAGGCTGCAGACTCACCTTATTCCAAGAATAGTTTGCTATTGATCTGTCTGCCAAATTAGTATCACCTTCCATGATATTCTCCTCACCTGCTGTTTGACGCATGTAATACTGAATAAGATAAAGCACAGATTTTTGTCCACCTTCCCTTTGCTCTTTTCATT